AGCAAAACTGCAGGACTGAGCAACCGCCTGTTGTGCCCCTGGTTGGAAAATGTGTTGCTGCGCACCATCACGGTGATCTGAAGCACCCGGGGGCGGGGGGCACTGGCACAACCACATGCTGGTCACTGTGCTGCAGACGCTAAAGCAGAAACCTCGTGTCATCAAGGCTCGAGGGGCAGCTCTGCCCTCACTGCTGAGGTCTCTGTGCCAAAAATGCTAAGATGATGCAACAGGGAAAAGACAGCCTCACCATGGCCGGGGCACTAGCAGAAAGACCAGTCCCTCATTCCTGGAGTCCAACTGGAGGATGCTTTAGTTAACCATCACCATGAAGGAAGTGGAGCTCTTTCATTTTCCCTCCCCAGGTAAGGAAAGCCTGAATCTGTACACTGGGAAGCTCTACGGAGATTCGCACCCAGGCCAGTCAGCAAAGAGGCTTGGCCTCTCCGGGCATCCCCCTCACTTGCAAGTGATCCGACTTGCAGATGGAGGCCATGGAGCGTGGCATGATCCAAGTATGCTGAGGGCAGGGAGAGAGGTCACAAATCAGCGGCACTCCCTGCAGGCCAGTTTCCTGGATGTTGAGGGGACATCCCACTAACAAAAGATCCTGACTTTGCAAGAGGATGGAGCCCTCATCCCAGCCTAGAACCGGGCCAAGCTGCAAGTTTCATCCCCCATGATCCATTCAAACCATGGCCCCTCTGCCAGGAGTGCCAAGGATGGGCCAATAGAGGTGGCACTGTAAGACACGCACCACTGCCCCACAGGAGATCAGAGGTCACTCCTTGCACAGGGAGGAATCAAAAAGCCATCAGATACTAATGACTGCGTTCCCAGTCCTGGACAGATTCCCACTGGTGAGGTATAAGGCAAGGGTGGAATTCACCCCAGAGGGCATAAGTGGCTTGGCACATGGCCTAGCATCACCTTTGTCCTCGAAAGAAGGCATTGAGTGGGATCTGACTGGCACACAGAGCCCTCCACCGCACTGAGCTCAGCACTGAGGAGGATCCTGCATTGCATCCAAGAACGGGAAGGACCGGAAAGTTGCCACCCTGACAGCAAACAGGAAGCCAGAAGAGCTCAGCACAGAGCTGAGTTCATTCGAGGCAGGTCCTGTCAGACCAGCCTGGCGGCCTTCTATGACCAGGTCACAAAATCCTTAGACGCAGGAGTAGCAGTGGACGTAGTCTTTCTGTACTTCAGGAAGGTGTTCGACACTGTCTCTCACCCCATTCTCATTAAAAAACTAGGGGACTGTGGCGTTGACACCTACACAGTCAAATGGGTCGCTAACTGGCTGGAGGGCTGCACCGAGAGTGGTGGTGGACGGGTCATATTCGACCTGGAGGGATGTGGGCAGTGGGGTCCTCCAAGGCTCGGTCCTCGGACACGCGCTGTTCAACATCTTCATCAGTGACTTGGACGAGGGGGTAAAAAGCACCCTGTTCAAATTTGCTGATGACACTAAGATGTGGGGGGATGTGGGCACGCTAGAAGGGAAGAACGGGCTGCAATTGGACCTAGACAGGTTACAGGGGCCGGCAGATGAGAACAGGATGGGTTTCAACACTGACAAGTGCAAGGTGCTGCACCTGGGGGGGAAGAACCAGCAGCACACCTACAGGCTGGGGAACTCCCTTCTTTTTTTCTTTTTTTTCTTCTTAGAAGTAGGGTCGGAAGGGACCTTGCAGATCTTCAGGTCCGACCCCCTGCCTGGGCA